TTGATATGTTCTGATACGATTTTGATATGATTTTTGATTCTGTATGATTCTGTTCTGTTCTGATTTGATCTGATATGTACGATTCAGTTCTGTTCTGATTTGATCTGATCTGTACGATTCTGTTCTGTTCTGTTTATCTGATTTCTGTACGGATTTTGTCTGATGTGTTTGATGTGGATTCTGAGGATTCTGATTGGAGGTTTGATGTCTTGCTGAGCTGTTATAGCTTATCCTTGTTTTCTGCGTGGTTTTCAGGTTCTGGGAAAGGGAAGGAAGTCTTGGAGTAGAAGTTCAGAGTCTGAGCCGTTATAGGTATTTTGTACTTTTGATTTTTGTACAGTCATGGTTTTTCTGTTCTGCTTTTTTTTCTGTCTGAAAGTCATGAACTGTATTTGTATATGATTCTTTTGAGGAAGAAAAAGATAGATGATCTGTTCCGCTGTATTTTGATGTTTATAGTAGCTCTGTGTGTCTATTTCTGTCTGTATGTTTGGAAGAAAGTTCTGAAAGCAAATTCCAAAGCCAGATCCTGGAATCAGTTCAGTCAGTCTGAAATCTGGATCACGACAGTTAACATCAATTAACAAAATAAGATAAAAAAAATAACGATGAGCTTACTGTTTATATTTAGATCAAAGGAAAGTGAGGGCTATTCTTTTTTTTATTAATGTGGAAGCCGAGCAAGATTTGAGATAATAGGGTTGTTTAGTGAGCTTTGGTTTGGAATTTTGAGTAAAATAAGGTGAGATTAAACTGGTTGAGTGGGATTTAGATGTGGATTGAGGAGGTGCGGCTTTCCTTGAATGTGAAGAGTGAAGGCTTTGACAGCTGTGAAGGAGTCGAATAGGAGGTTAAATCGAGGGCTTGGAGGTCGAATAGGGAAAATGACGGGAAGAGAGGGCTCGGTCGACTAGGCTTAGAGGAAGAGGTGTGGATTTTGGCTAGAAGCTCAGACGGTCGTGGTGAAGAGGTCGGAAGGTTGACGGGCTAGGTAGAGGTCGATTGAAAGTGGAGGACAGGGTCGCAAGGTCGGCGGGTTGAGGCCTTCTGGATCGACACAACAGAGTGGATGTCGGAGGAGGCCAACCATTATGGGAGGCATTTCGGGCAATGGGCGTGGACCATCGGAGGAGGGGGTCATGAGCCACCTCTTAGGGCTCTGATAAGCTACGGTATAGGATTTTCGAATGGAGGGCAGCAGGAAGGGAGTTTAATGGTGAAGGTGGTGGGATGGCCGACCACTATGGGAGGTCTTCTGGACAAGAGGACTGGATGACCAAAGAATGTGGGGGACCGTCCGAACCATGGGGATCGGGTCATGAGAGGCAGAGGGAAAAAAGTCGGGATTCCCACCCTCGATACACAGGGGAAATATGGAGGGATCACCACAGCTGTTATGCTGGAGGAGGAAAAAACCATTGGGGCAGTGGCGATCCCAGGGTGACAATCCTATGGTCACTGCATCCTAGTCTTTATGTGAAACAAGTTGAATATCTTGCAGCAAGAGCTGCACCTATTCATCCCGGTTCTCAAGAATTTAGTTCGTATGGAGGAAGAATGAATGTAGATCCACATATTTTACCCATTCCTGGACAGTTTATGACTTTTATGCAATTCAGAAATACTAGAGAGCTGCTTCCATCAAGATGATGTCCCAACCGAGTCTATTATGCTTAAGTATATCGTACGTTTTGTTCCTCTTAACAAAAAGTTTCCAATTCATTCTCAGCATCTTGGGTTTATTGTTTAGAAAGTCGTTATTAAGTGGAAGGATTTGCCGGTGCACGAAGCCATATGGGAACCTTACGAGCTGATCAAGAGAAAGTTCCCATCCTTCCATCTTGAGGATAGAGTGCTTTTTTGAGAGAAGTACTAATACACTAGGTGGTCCATCTTGTATGGCCCAGGGGAGTTAATATTCACTATGTAAAGAGGAGAAATCAAGGGAAAAATAATTAGAAAATTTTATTTAGGGAAAGAAGCTGATTTGAATTCAGATTTGGGATGGAATTATGAAGATTTTATTTAGGGAAAGAGAGTTTATTTGAATTCAGATTTTGGAGGGAAATGTGATGATTTATTTAATGGTATTTGATTATTTTATTTTGAATATATGTGATTTGTTAGTTTGTTATAGTTCTTTTCTTTGAGGGCTTCCTAACGGCGTCCAAGATATTTGGGAGAGCCGATCTACCTCTCTAATCATAGATCACCTAGTTTTGGTCTTTTTCCTTCAAATATAATCCAATAAAAAGTGATTCTCGAGTATTCTTCTTCATCGTTTACTTGTTATCAATTTCTATTTTGCTGAAATTGAATATTCAGCCAAGATTTTCTTCAAGTTCTGCATCTACTTCTTATCAGATAGATGAGCTATATCCTCGAGCAAGTGATGTTCTCAATCATATTCCTGAGGACTTTCCTGAGAGCTTTATTACAGAGGTCAAAAATATCTCGATCATGGTTTGGATGCTTGACACGTGAAGGTTTGAGATCAACTCTGAGCGGGTGTGATTTTTGAAGGCTAAACTATTCAATGACAACCTAAATTAAATATATTTTGAATATAATATGTGTGCAAAGCAAAGATTCAATTTTTATGAAATAAGCGTACTACAAAATCATTTGTAGGCGGTTAAGGAAATGTGCAAACTCCATTTCAATCACATTAAAACCTCAAGATGACCAAAATTGGGACTAAAATCTGAAAGAAAAATATTAGATTCTCTGACAACTTTCAACAAAGTAAAGAAAGGCAAAAGAAGGAAAGGAATAGATAATTAAATGAAAAAATAAAATGATGCACTGATAATGATCCAAAATGTTGAGTTAGAAGAAGATATGGAAAGATTAAAAGCAAGAAACATGCTCAAACTATAACTTGCCTCAAAATCGACAAGACTCTATTGTGAGCTCCACGCAAGACTCGAGAACAATTTTAAATTCGCCCTGACTTGCGTAGATGTAATTAAATAGACTTGAATTGAGTATTTTTTATAAATTTTACTTAATTTCTATGCTATAACATGTGTATAATTATAGTATAATATGTATATTTATGTATAAAAGTAATAAAAATGACTTTGAGTTGACTCCAAATTGAATTCGAGTCAACCTGGAATAAAATAATTTCAATTCAACTCTGATTAACTTGAAATGATTTAAATATCAAAATTGAGTTTGACTCAAGCTAGAATCAAATTTTTTTTTATTCATGTTAAGCTAAACATGCTCAAACTCAACTCAACATCACCCTAGAGACAAAGGCAGTGGAAAAAAAAATTGTAAGTTGATTATTAAGTTGATAAACAAAGTTTTCTTCATGTTAATGAATGTGAAAAAAAAAAAAAAAAGCAACTCCTCATTAGTTAGAACTCCTCCATGCAGATAATTTCTCAGCAAATTGATTCTTGGCATGTACGTCCAAATACCAGGACTAGCAACCTCAAACAAAATGGTTTCATTACCTCATGCCCTTGATTTCCACAATAAAGATTCAGTGATCTTCTAGAGGTCAATAAAAAACATATACGGTGGAAATATAAGAGGGATACCTAGCTGAATAAATCATAATGATTTATTGGAAATAACTATATCACATCTTTATGACTAATGCAAGAAGTAATAAAGCAACTCCGCCTGGACAGATGAATATAAGAAATTAAGAATGAGGAAAGTGAATAGAATCAAGATTAGAATAAGATTATAGACTTTAGTTGGACTAGCTAGTATTCCAAAAAAAATAATTAAAAAAAAAAAAAAAACTAGACCTTGAAAAGTAGAGTATCAAGATGAGGATCAACATATGCTAATAATAGAAAAGGAAGTTGGACGTAGCTAGACCAACAAGATATAGCGTGTATAAAGTAGGAATGCAAATTCACGAGTGGCAGCATTTTTGTAAAAAGAGACAGGAAGGCATATATTAGGATTAGTGAGCTGAAGGGAAAACATGAAAAATATCAGCAAAGAATTAAGCATCAGAATTTTACAATTAAAGTTTCACTAGTGTACAAGTTAACCATCAGAATTTTACCACGGAAGATTCACTAATGCACATGCCTAGTAGGACTGATTTTGGCCTCATTTGGTAGTGTTGTTCATCACTGTGATCTGCTTAATGAAAGTAAGTCACCACTACTATCAGAAGAGGATTACCTATTCTATAATTGTTATTCCACATGATTAACAAACCATAGACTATGTGAACGCAATGCACAAGACTTTAGGTCAATTGTTTACCGTACAAAGCAAAATTGTAACACTAAAAAGCAAAACGTTAAAAAAAAATCATTGAAGGCCTTAGTCTTATATTCACCCATGAAGTACAACTAGTTTAGCAATAATATACCACACCACACACCTGACAACAGTGCGAATCAATGGAGCACAAATTTTACATCATGAAAGCATGTTAACTGCTTTGTTGTTTAAGTTAGAAAGTCATAAATCACTTGTTTCTCAAAAAAATTGCCAACTATATGAAAAGCTAATTTCAATGGTTATTAATAATACAGTTGATGGAAATTGGCAACCCACCACACTGCTTAAAACTAAAAGATGATCAACTAAAATTCTATAATTTTGGTTCAAGTAGAAAGCATTCAGTGCAATATATGAAAATCTCATTGATGATGCATAGTTCTCATATTTATCAGGCCTCTACTTCCACTCACATATAGAAGATATAGCGGGCATAACTGAAATCATCGAGCTTCATTTTATGCATGAGAAGTTATATTAACAAACTAGATTGATTGTCGTCCAACTCTGAGGAATTTGTTCAAAACTTGTCTGAAGTCATGTTAAAAAAGGACATTTTGCTTGAGGCAAGCCCTATTGTAAGTATGATTGTACCTCGATAAAAGCCTCTGGATTTGGGCAGTTCTGTTGCTTAGACAGCCGCAATGTGCACTCTGCAGCAGTGCGGCCATCTCTAAGGGCAACAGCCTTGAAGAACTCGAGCAAATTTACACGATCACCACTGGAAAGTTCAGCTGTCATGCCAACATCAAGAAAAACAACATGAGGCCTCGACTTGAAGAACCCTTTACTTGGGCGTCTTGATTGAGACACTCGGACAAGAATATTTCCAGGATGCATATCTGCATGGATAAAATTATCCACCTGAAAGAAGTAAGCATTGAAAAAAGCTGAATCACATTCGATCAATTATATTGCAATATCTAATTAAAAATATCAAGGGAGCAATTATGCAGTAAGAAAAAAAAAACCATATATAAGTGTCTAACAATTCATCAATGAAATACTTGCGAAGTCAAGCTAAACAAAAAAAAGTTAAAATTCTAACAATTTTTTTACTGGGACGTGCATACAGTACACGGAACAAATATATTAGAGCAAACTACCAATTAGCATAGATAAATATTTCATATGCATTATTAATCTAAAAAAAAGGCTATTGCCAACAGTAATGCTCAAACAAAAAGCTGCATATTGCTTAAGTTTTTTCTCCCATCAGCTCATTTAGTTGACTTAATGATAGGCACTCAAAATAATTTAAAATGGGTTGTACAATATGAGCACATGCATAAATAAATGAGTAAAAAGCTCAAAATAGTCCCCTTGCTATTAGTTAATATCCAATTTAATTTCAGACATTCATGATGACCCAATTTAATCCCATAACTATTAGAAAATATGCAAAATTATAATGTAATCTTTTTTGCTAACAATAATTGTTAAAATTAACCCTAATAATTAAATATGAGACATTTTTCGGTATTCTGGTATATGTGAGATAATATTATTATTTAATATTTTTTATTATTTATTATATTATAATAAATATAAAAATTAAAATGAAAGTTAACCAACTAAATAACAATAATGAATAATTAATAAACGTGATTAACTTCCATTATGATTTTTGTATTTACTTCAAAATGATAAAATATTTAAAAATAATAATATAATCTTCAATACACACTAAAACCCAAAATGCCTTCAAATTTAATTTTTGGGATTAATTTTAACTGCTATTTTTGGTCTTAGGACAAAACTGAGACATTTTCTAATAGTTCGAGGGCTAAAATGGGGCATTATAAAAGTCTAGGACTACATTAGCTTTACTAATAGTCGGGGGCTACTTTGGGCTTTTGCTCATAAATAAATACATGCACCAACATAAATAAAAACACAAATAGACATACACATCATGCACGCTTGTACACACATGAACAAATACAAACACACACAAATACAAACATGATGAATGCAGACAAAGGCATAAAAAGCGTGCACATGTATATCCATGCATAATGCTTTCATGGATGTATACCTATGTCAATTCAGACATCCATCCACAAATGAAAAAACATCCATAAACACGCAAGTGCATGTGCTCACACACATACATATAGGCTAAAAGGCATGCACACACATGTAGATAAGTGCATGTGTACACACCTGCATGCATAAAAACAAACCAATATAAACACATACAAACAACCAATAGACACACACAAGTTGACATCACATAAGCATGCACACACCATTGAAAACACAAATGAGCACACACACATCCAAAAACATGTGCATACACTACACATATAGAGACACACATGCACGGCACACAGTGCCAATTTGTATATGCATCAGCCTTCTCCAACGATCACCAGATAATTCAATAAAGATGCAAGTTTTTCTAATTCTCTCCTTTCTAAAACCAACTAATTATAGCGGCTTCATGAATCCTCGTTATCTCTGTCCTTAGTACCACATTAGTTGTTAAACCTATTTTTCATAACTTGAATCCAAATTACCTACAATCTATCAATTTTTTTCCTAATCTTTTAACCTTAATTTAATGTAGCAATCTTATTAATGTATCTTGTACCCTTAGTTTACATGTCTCAATCACTTAACATTATTTTTCACCATCTTAAAAGAAGCTACCCTCGCAATTTGTCTGATTTAATCGTTTCTTAAACAATCGTTCACACACATCAAAATTAGTATCCACCTATGATGCACCGACACGTCTCCCCAAAAAAGCGTGCAGTGTCCGACATGACATGCATCCAACACACCTCTAACACATGTCAGACACACTGAAAACGCGTTTGATTAAAAAACTATTAAATACAAATTTGACACGCGTGTTCGACATGCGTGTCTTAAATATTTTATGAATTTTAAAAAATATATAATTTCTTATATTTAAAATTTTATTTATTTTAACTAAAAAAACTAAATTTATTATTTTCTATCCACAAAATCAAATCAATCGCTCGCACTCAACATCCCATTCATTGAATATTCTCATTTTCATTTCTCTTTGGCGATCGCGACTTTGGTTTTACAAGAATGCTCGAACTCAGCATCGACGTCTAACGTCGTTAAAACATCAATATTTCAAAATCATCTTAACATCAAAGTCTAACACTGTTTTAACATTGATGCTCGATGTTAACAATTTCTACACTCACAACTTGACAGTTCAGCTTTGTCCGACGTCATCTTAACATCGATGGCCAATGCCCTGTCAATATCAATGGCAGACGCCTTCCTAACATCAACATCCAATACGTACTGCATCGCATCGATGTCCGACACTCGACATTATAATATTAATTATTTTAAACATAAATTCTAATTAAATGACTTATTATTTCTAACTTATTTTTCATATTATACTTATTTAATTTTTATACACTATTTTTAAAATATAAAAATTATATTACCGTGTCAAACCCATATATGTGTCTTATATTTTCAATAATTGATGTGTCATGTGCCCATTATTGACCTATGTACTTGAGCAAAAAAAAATATGTCACGTACCTAGAGGGACGTCTGACCACGAACGACGTCATGCTCGCCATACTTCGCACGACCCAACATCTCATCTCCCACGATCTCTTCTTCTCGTCGCTAAATACTATAAAGACAAAGGATCGGAGGTTACGACACCTTTAATCGAAAGCATTGGCTGGAGCTCCGCTTGCTATGAAGGTCCTTTCTCCTTATCGCGTACTTATTCAGCTCCTACGTCGCTGTTCGACTTCGCTCCTTCGACGACCTTCCCTTTTCCTGGCAAATCGGGAGTTATGACATTCGGATCGCAAGCAACAACAGGATCTCGCGTGCAGTGAAGGTAACTTTCTCCATTCCGAGTGCTTCTTCAGCTCCTTCGTGGTCATTCGACTTTGCACCTCCGACGACATTTCCCTCCTCTGGGATCGGAAGTTGCACATTTTAATCGTAAGCAAAGGAAGGGAGCTCCGCTTGCTGTGAAGCAACTTTCTCCATTTCAAGCGCTTCTGCGGCCTCTTCGTTGTTGTTTGACTTCGCTCTCCAATGACTTTCCGTTCCTGTGGGATCGGAAGTTACAACATATTGCTCGGAAGCAACAAGGGAGCTCGCTTGCTGTATGCAAAGGTAATCTTCTCCCTTTCCAGCGTTTCTTCGGCCAAATCACGTATATGTGCCGAATCAGAGGAGGAGGAGAGAGGGGTTTAATTAATTTTAATTAAGATTAATCTTAATTAATTATAATCAATTTTAATTATAAGTATTTTAATTAATTATAATTAATTACAATTAACTTTAATTAAATAATTATAATTAATAACTTATAATTAATTTTTAATTTTAATTCATAAATTTTAATTACAATAAATTATTATTAATTAAATATAATTAATTAAAATTAATTAGCTATAATTAATGGAGGTTAGTTATAATTAATTGTAATAATTATAATTAATTATCTTAACTAATTATAATTGATTATAAGAAAATATAATTAATTATTGATTATAATTAATTAATTAAATATTAATTATAATTAATTAATATAAAGCCTGCTCCTCCCTTGCCTCAATCCACGAGCCGACACAGTCGTCGATGACTCCTGCAAAGGTATAAAGTTCCAAATCCCATCTTCGGTGTTGTGACGAGCCGGTGGACCCACTATACACGCTCTTGTAGCACGATGGGGGAGAATCCGGTGCGACAGGTGCGACGAGGCGGGTAGGCCCTATACACGCTCTTGTAGCGTGTTTGGGACAACCTCGAGTACCATGAGACCTCTTACCTCGACGTCGACATCAAGACCGTTGACGACTGTTACGTAATGTATAATGTTTCAAATCCCATTTTCGATGTTTGCGCGTACCGGAGAACCACATATACGCGCTCTCGTGGCAGATAGGAGGGAGCCCGGAGCGACGCATAATGAGATGGGTAAGCCTTATACATGCTCTTGTAGTGTGGTGGGAAAAGCCACTTGTGTTCTCATACGGGTACTATTGAAGGCCTCATACACGCTCTTGTAGCATGGTGGCATGAAAAGATGTATGGCTTGGTGTCCCCCCAACATCTACCATACACGCGCAAATAGCATGGTGGGATGACCTAGTTCCTAACATTTCCCCCAAACAGGGGATATGTCGGGGTGCTGCCGAAATTTTCACCGAAATGTACAAAGCCTGAGCAATTTGAAGACATCATTTGAGCAATAGTACAGAAGACCTGCACTTGAACAAAAAATGCACAGAACTTGAACTAAATGAGCAGAGGACTTGTATGAAGAATAGATGACTTGAGGACTTGAATACGAACAAAACCTAAATGACTTCTAAAAGGTCAAATCCAAATAAAATAAAATCAAATTGGAGCTAGATTCAAATTAATTTGAACATGAAAATGAATCTGCAAAGACTCCAGAAGACCTTGAATAAAAAGTGAACATGCAATTGAACTCAAAGGACTGTAGGGGACTTGAACAAGACTAGTACATCAAACAAAGACTTTGATTTGGATTGAGTCTGAGCTTGAACAAGCATCTACACTCAAATAAAATAAAGCAACAAACAGACTTATAGAAGTCCTAAACTCGAATCAAATGATAAAAATCTTGCTGCCGAAGCCAGTCAACTTGAAAGTGAATTTGTAAGTTCAAGCTGGGTTCAAACTCGACATGAGCAATAAAGAACTTGAACCTTCAAGAACAAGAAGGGACTCAGTCTTGCACTTGATTCGGACAAGGAACCTGAACTCGCACTTGACCTCGTACTATACAACAATAAGTGGGAGTTGTAGACTCGATGAACTCGAGTCTAAATGAAACTTAACTCGAACTCAAACATATACAAAGGGCA